CTCTGATGTGACGGGAGCAGGTCATGTCAGTTGCAACGCTACTGCCGAAAAACTACGCAGGGGAGGTTGAGCCGCTCACGTGCCATAGTCGATACAGACTCGGAGCTTGAGAGCGTGCAGCTTCTTTACTCACCGAGCACCAGCTCCCAGCGCAGGGACGGGCCAAAGCGGTCAAGCGAGAGAATGAAGGCCAAGGCGCTGTACAAGGCTGCCCTCCGCATCCAGAATCCGCTCCAGGAAAAAGCCGCCCTATCCCCAGAGGAGAAGGCAAAGCTTACCTGGGCTTCGCCAAACTCCCCCATATGAGTTCGACTCGCGGATTCGCCAACAAGTTGGAGAAGACGCATGCCAACAAAAGGCAACGCTCAACCGAAAGCGCCTCTATGAACGCACCGGGGAGCAAGCGGCAACGCGGGCCTAAGGAGGCAGGCCCTCCCCAAATGGCGAAAAAGCCCAAAAAAACCGCAAAAGTCAGTGAGGTGACCTAACGACACTTGATCGTGGCCCTCATTGACAGAAGCGATGAAGCCGGCAAAATGACCGAGGCGCAGTGGAAGATGGTGCATGCGCGGCTCGTTGAGTCATTGTACGTACGGATGGAGGATGATCCCGAAGCTCCCATGCCCACCTTCGATGGCGCTGGGTGGCTAAATGGGGTCAAAATCCTAAAGTGCATGGATGACCCGACGAGAAAGTGGCTGACGCAAGCGGTCTGCCAGTTGGAGGCGCTATGGGAGGGAGCCAAGCTAGAGGTGGTGGACCGGGAGCTAATCCCATGCACTCCAAAAGCGAAGATAATCTTCCCCATCGCAATTCAAGCGGTCCAGGCGGTGAAGCTGGTGCAGCGTCAGAACCCGGATATCCCAACCACGGACTGGAAGGTTCTGCACGTTGCGGCCCCATCACCCAAGGAGGGCGGGCAAAGTGCAGTCCTCCAGATAAACAAGGAGGCAGAGGACATCCTTTATCCGAGATACGGGAAGATGGCGTGGGGCATGGGTAGCATATACCTGCGCCTCAAAAAGCGCCACCCCGGGGATAAGGTTGCTCACACCCTGAAGGCAGATGTGGTGGAGAAGGACCTAGGTCTGGAAACCATCGTGGATGCCGACCAGGAAATGTCGCTGGATGAGTCCGACGAAGGAGAGGACGGCGACCTGACCGTAGTAGTCAACCCGTCGTATGGAGGTGAGCACAGTACCCATGACACTCAGGGTGCTGCAGCTCAACCTAAATAAGAGCAAGGTCGCGTCGGCGGAACTCCTCATAGCCATGGAGCAAGGATCCGCCGACATAGCTTTGGTCCAGGAGCCATGGATCGCCTCAGGCAATGCCATCGCCGGACTGAAGTCCGCAAATTACAATTTGCTCCACCCACCAACGGTAATCAGGAATAGAACCGCCTTTTGGTAGCTTCCTGCTACATGGCACACGACAGGACGGCATCAACAGAAGAACTCGTGAGCTTGGTAGAAACCAGCCCGAAGGACCAGCAACTGCTCGTGGGTGCAGACGCCAACGCGCACCACTGCGTATGGGGTAGCCCCGACATAAACGACAGAGGTGAGTCACTCTTAGACTTTATACTCTCAACCAACCTGAGTATAGCAAACGTGGGGGAGGAACACACCTATGTAGGTCCCACCTCCTCAAACGTGCTAGATCTTACTCTTGTAAGGGGACAAGGTACTTTGGTATCAGAATGGAGAGTCCTTGAGAGACTATCCTTCTCAGATCATAAGTACATACGGTTCCAATACGCATTCGAACACTCAACAAAACAATCAGTCTTCAGGAACCCCCGGAATACTAACTGGGGAAAGTTCAAGGAGACTATTGCGACACGGCTCGCGATCTCTCCGGGCATAGTAAAATCCGCGGAAGACATAGAAAAGTCCCTAGAGACCCTCTCCAAAGAACTGCTGGATGCGTACCACGCGTCATGCCCGGACACGAGAAAGAGGACCAGGCCACCCTGGTGGAATAGCCTTTCACTCCGACGCAACAAACTCAAAGAATTCTTCAAAATCGCCAAGCAGGCGAAAGATGATACCATCAATGAGGAATACAAAGTCCTACTTAGGGACTACAAGAAAGAAATACGCAAGACGCAAAGAAACTCATGGAGAAACTTCTGTTCCAATATAGAGACTGCCCCGGAAACGGCTAGACTCCGGAAGCTGCTATCGATACAGAACTAGCTCAAACACGACGACGGACAGTGGGCTGAGGGCAGTGAAGAGGCCCTAACAGCACTAATGCATGCGCATTTCCCAGGATGCACTGAGGTACCCGATGCAAATAAGCACAGGTCCTGGTGCTCCAACTGGAGAAGAGCATCTCCCAAAAGGTTTAATATCCTCTGGTAGAAACCACTGGGCTATAGAGTCCTTTGCGAGGATAAAAGCACCAGGACTAGATGTAATATTCCCAGCCATGCTGCACGCGACCAAGGAAGTGATCACCCCATGGCTCTACGCAATATATACAGCTTGTTTAAGCACGGGCTATATCCCTATCCAATGGAGGACCTCTCGGATTGTCTTCCTGCCCAAAGCAGGAAAGTGCAGCCACATGAGCCCCAAGGATTACAGACCGATAAGCCTCACCTCATTCCTACTTACAACTCTGGAAAAGCTGCTGGACCTATACATCAGGAACGTTGTAGTGAGACAACTGTTGACCAACCAGCACGCCTACACGAAGGGGAAATCAGTAGAGACGGCACTACATTAGTTGGTAGCCACCATTGAGAGAGCCCTAAACAATAAGGAGTATTCACTTGGAGTGTTCGTGGACATATCCAGGGCATTCAACAACGTTAGCACGGACGCAATAATGGATCGCCTAGAAGCGACCAACTCGTCCCCCGCTATCAACTTGTGGATAAAAAATCTTCTAAGTTGCCGGCGGGTACAATCAGATTGGGGCACCGCTTCCATGGTGAGAGGAGCGCACAGAGGCACACCGCAAGGTGGGGTTCTGTCGCCCCTCCTATGGAATCTGGTGGTAGACGACGTAATCAAGAGATTTGAGAGGAAAGCACCAAAGATAACAGCTTATGCGGATGACATAAGCATAATTATCACGAGAGTCTGTCCATCGACCCTCAGCTCGATCATGGAAACAACACTCAGGGAGATATGTGAGTGGGCGGAGAAGGTAGGACTCAATATCAATGCGGATAAGACGGACCTTATTCTCTTCACCAAGATATACAAGGTGCCGCAATGGATCCCCCTGAAAATGAACAAAACCAGGCTGACCCCTAAAACACAAGTCAAATACCTCGGCATTGTACTTGACAGAAAGCTGACAGGCCAATGTAGTAGAGAGGGTAAAAAAGGCCACCATAGCGCTATATTCATCCAAGAAGATGCTTAGCAGCACATGGGGCCTCTCACCCGCTCTAATGCATTGGGTCTACATATCCGTGGTGCGTCCGACTCTGCTGTATGAAGTCTTAGTGTGGTGGCACTAACGTATAATAAGCTTATGGAGAGAACCCAGCGGCAGGCACTGCTCTGCATATCAGGGGCGCTGAGGTCAACCCCCACCAAAGCACTCGAAACCATAATCGGTATATATCCCCTAGATATCCATGCGCAACTGACAGCAGGAAAGGCGGCACAACGTCTGGTTGCGTATAAGCTACCAAGCCACTGCAGTATGTTCCAGGCGGAAGTATTCTTCATCAGAAAAGCAGCAGAGCTTTCGCAGAGCATAAACCGTCCACATGAGGCGGCCAATTTGTTACTAGACAGTCAAGCGGCGATAAGATCCATGCAACATAAGCGGTTAGTTCCAAAAATGTACTGGCAAGCAGAGAGTCACTAGATACCCTGAGCACGACTAAGTCAGTGAGGATCTACTGGGTTCCCAGCCACCAAGGCATAGACGGTAACGAAACCGCGGACGAACTTGCAAAGGAAGGCGTTGGACTGGCGAGTGAAAGAGCAGAAAACGTCCCTGTCTCCCTATGAACGCTCCAAAGCGAGCTAGAGAGACGGGCTGACTCAAGCGCAAAAAGCAGGGGGAGACTAATTCCCCAACCTGAGGAATATCAAAAATCAACGAGAAACTCACTCACTACGTGCTACATCTTCCGCGGAAGGACTGCAGAATGTTAGTGGGTATTCTTACAGGTCACTGCCTGTCTGCTGCACATGCAGTCAAGCTGGGTATTACCGACAACGCCAAATGCCGGAAATGTGATGAATCCGAGGCAATCGAAACCTTGGAACATCTCATTTGCAAATGTCCGGCCCTAATGAGGGCAAGAATGAGATACCTAGGCTCTGCAGTTCTGGCATCGCTAGAAGATGCATCCAGGGGAAAGCCAGGCGAACTTCTTGCCGTTGCGAAAAACACCTTGATATTCAAGGATCTCGAAACCCGCATAAATAGTCTCTAGGTCCATCCAGGAGTTTCCCCGGATAGCTATGGGCCATATTGGCCTATGTGTGGCCCCTCGAGGGCCGTCCGGTCTAACCTAACCTAACACCATAATATATAATGTTGATAGCCTCCGCCAACTAAAAACTTTAATCTTAACCCACGTAGTACGCATGCAAGCAACCAATCCGGCAGCACGCCAGTAGTAGTTTCCTAGCATTCTTTTCTATTTATTTCCTTCACTTCTCCAAATAATATTTTTGTTTTTAAAACCATTTAAGTTGAACTATAGACCAATTCCCAGATTATTATACGTAGTGCTCAGCTAAAGATCAAATATACTCTTTTAAAATATGAAATCTACTATTCTTAAAATTTTGTGTGATCATGGTTTTCTTTCACGTATGTGAGAAAGAATACATTCTTTTGCTACTTTATCGATAAAATATTTTTAAGTATATGTATGCTATTATCTAGTCCCATTTATATAAATTGTTAAAATATATACCTTAGTGAGTGTCTGTTGTTAAAAAGATCTGTAGTTTCTTAGTTTCTGTACAAATGCACATATCTTAACGTGTTATCTATTTCCAGAAAAATCTTACCTCCTTGCTCATCCAGCATAACAATGCTTCGCATTCCAACTTCCGCGCTCTAAATGGGAATACATGTGCATTTTTAAATTATTAGAAATCCATTTACAGAGAATAAACAACAAAATCATTTCTTTTTCTATTTATACATATATATAATTAATTATATATATATTGTATTAATTATTAGTATATTGCATTTATCTGAAGACGGTATATTTAAAAAAACTTTATATAAATATAAAACAAAGCGATTATAAAACAAATATAGGTGTTCACATTTCAATAGTTTTAAATGTGTTTAATTTTAAACTAAATAAAAAATGACTTTGTTTAAATTCTCAAAGCATGACAAATATTATAAACTTTTACAGGCGTTTTAGAGCTTTAATTTTTGCTAAGGATTCCATTATTTTATTCTTAACTAATGTCACGATCCGGTTCTGATGGAGAACTATTAGACAGCAACGGTCTGGCAACTCCGAATCAAGTTGGCGAATTATTGGAGAACGAAAACGACACGAGCAACGTCCGCTCCGCGAGAACGACATATCGCAACGTACAAATTAAATAACGTACATATATCTGTATCCATTCATATTTTATAATCGAGTTGTTCATCATTAAAATACAGTTAATACCACGAGTTAGTGTCTTTATTCACAGTAAGCCGCGCTATCTATTCGCCTTATTCCTGACATATCAACCGCGACTCACACATTTCCCTACACGAAGACAAGATATTGGAATGTGGGTGACATTCTCAAAAGTGGGATAGTGCGCAATAAGTGAAGACGAGCCAAAATAAATAGACACAACGTAAAAAGAAAGTTATTCACAATGCCGGGAAAGAACTATTTAACTAAGAAAGCCCTACAACATAAGTGCATAGAAGCGGGACTCTCGACATCGGGAAATCGTGAGGACATGCTTAAAAGATTGAACTCTCAAAACAGCGACGATGAGTACATAAGTGCAGAAAACCAGTCACTTCAAAAGAAGGTTGTCGAGCTGGAGAAAACTGTACGAGAGCTTCAGTAGCGATCTTTTCACCCTTCAGTAATTTCATCACCAATCGAAAAAGCTGCGTCACAGCAAAACGATATATACCCACCTCAACCAGACAACATGCATTTTGCTACCTCACAGCGAAATGTTATCTACCCGACTCAGACTCACAACGTGCACTTTACTACGTCACAGAAATTCGCAGACTGTGCTACCTCACAGGCAAACGTAAACAACCCTGTCACTTACTCAAACTTTGGAAATTTTGTAACTTCGGGAAACGATTTTAATTCATACAGTACATTTTCACGACATCAACCGATGTATAACTAGTATCCGTATGCTCGTGCTAGCCACTTGGATAACAGGATCCCTACTGGGAACGAACATTTCAATCACTCCTATGGAAACGTCAGTGATATTGTCGCGCTGCTTCCAGAATTCAAGCCATCGTCTGGTAAATCCCTGGACTCACATCAATTTGTAAAGCGTGTCAACTCCTTTCGTAACGCTTATCGTTGGGATGATCGTAAGCTAATATTTGCAGTTCAACAAAAGATGCTGGGTGCTGCTCGTTATTGGGTAGACTCTACGGATCAAATATTTCAAACATGGCCCCAGTTTACTGAACGATTTTTGAATGACTTCCCATGTCTCAGTAACCCGGCAGATGTTCACCTTAAAATGTCAAAAACGAATAGAGATTCCACCGAGTCACCGTCAGATTATTTCTACAAGATGCTCGCTTTTGGTAAAAAGTTACCAGATTCAGCAATTTGAACACACATTATTAACGGAATTAACGACTACAATTTAAAGAGAAAGATTTCAAACAGTTATGTTTCCTGTAACGAACTTCTATGCGATATTCTTGTATACTCAGCGCATAATATTATAATGCATAACGCCATTCAAATGTCAAACAAACGGGATCTTAACGTCAGCCTTCAAATCCCGAATTCTTCATTGAATACAAAAAGTCCTTTCAACGATAAAGTCGAAGTATCGGTTAAATTCTACAATTGTCAGAAAGTTGGACATTATTCTTCGAAATGTCCTGAGCCCCAGCGCAAGCTTCGTTGCACGCACTGCAACCGCACAACACACGATTCTGCCAGCTGCCCCAATAACCAAAAGACAGGTCCAAAAATTAATTGACTCTGATTCTGATTCAGAAATCTCCAAATCGATTTCGGTAAACGGCAATGAAACCATAGCATTCGTAGATCCAGGCAGTATGCGAACCCTAATTCGAAAGTCATTCGCCGAAAGCGAAGGTGTTCTACAACGATGTGCTGTTACCCTGAACGGATTTGGTGGTGGGAAACTTTTCGCGAAAATTGTAATTGAAGATTCGGATTACGAAGTTGAAGTTTTGGTCGTCGAAGATAAACTAATAACCGAAAATGTACTTTTGGGTATCCTTTGTCGCGATGAAAACAAATTGATCATCCTCGGTAATGAGTGTAGGGATAGAAAACTATGAATATGGAATATGGAAGAGATTTGAATTAAATGCGCGCGCGCGCCATGATCAGGCGCAAAGGGTCACACTGGCCCAAATGAGAATCTGGCCACACTCTAATGACAAATTTCTCCGGGCGCGTCGGTCACACTCGGCCGCACCGGAGCGCTATATAAGGCGAGCTTCAGCCCTTGGGAAGCATTCAGTTTTCGGCCAGCGATCGGCCAAGTCCTCTAACAGGAACCAAGGGTAAGCCAGCAGCAAGGAGTCACATAAGGAGCACGGATAAATAAGGCATACTTGTAAAGCGGTAGTCCGACTAGTAGAAGACCTTAGGGCCTCTACAACCTTCTCAATCTTAGAAGACCTTAGGGCCTTTACACGATTCTCTATTCTTTGGAAGACCTCAGGGCTTCCACAAACTTCTCAAGACTGGAAGACCTCAGGGTCTCCGCTAACAAGTTATTCCACTAACTGGTAGACCTGAGGGCCTCCACAAGTTATTCTCACTCTAGGAGATCTAAGGGGCATCCGCGCATTGGCGTTTCACCGACACTGTCGACCCGAGCGGGAAGGATGTAACTAACCCTGAAGTGCGGCGTTCCAGAGCGGCTACCCGCGGCAACAGACTGAATCCAATCTTTTTAACAGTTGTAATATTCGAGGCAATAAACATATAATTATAGTTACGGCATATTCCTCGGCGTTCTACTCTGGGACCGGGTCGGCATCTCTTTCAGCAACCACCTCAGACAACAAATAAATTTCTGAGACGAACCCTGCCCATCCTTGAGCCACCGGAATGACCAATCGTCACAAGCTCGGTAAATGTTCTCTAACCAAAATGGAAATAACTTTAACATCAAACGTTCCCTGCTTCACTAAGCCTTACCGTACTCCTTTTGTACTCAGACCTGTCGTCGGTAATATTATCTCCGAGTTACTCGATAGTGCTATCATTCGTCCTTCAGACTCCCCTTATGCATCTGGAATTGTCGTCGTTGAAAAACAGAATGGTGAACATCGTCTTTGTGTCGACTACCGACGTCTCAACAGTATAACCGTCAAAATACCATTTCCAATGCCAAATCTGGAGGAGAAATTTGCCCAATTAGCTGGGAATACCTATTTTTCTCAGCTGGACTTGCGAATTATCCAAACAATTCACCGCATTTGTAACTTCAGACGGCCACTACGAATATAACAGGATGCCGTTCGGTCTCGTCAATGCTCCAGCAGTATTTCAAGCGGTCATGAACAAAATAGTCAAACGCATGGAGCCAGGTGGATACTCGCATATCTAGATGACGTCATTATTGCCAGCAAATAATTTGATGAGGGTATCCAACGACTCTGAAAATTCTTCCGAATCCTTCGCTACGACAAATGTAAATTTCTTCAATCCGAAATAACTTTCTTGGGCCATATTGTCAACAAAGATGGAATCACTCTTGGCGAAAACAAGGTGAGCGCTATTAAAAACTTCAAAGTCCCCACTTAAGTAAAGGGCGTCAGACGATTTTTGGGTCTAACGGAATTCTTTCGAAAGTTTTTTATTCATCGTGATGGTAGTTTTTTTTTTTTTTTTGTATTCAATATTATTTATTTATTATTTACAACTATAAATAACAATTACAACTATAGTATATAGTGTGCAATTTTATCTCATCCTCTCTCGCGGACGAAACCGTGGCCCTCACTGTGCGGTACGGCCGCAAAGCATTGCTTCGCACAGTGGCAGGCCACTTAGATCATCCGCTCGTTTCTGCCCCTCTCCAGGAGCCTGAGTGACTTCATCACCTTCGCCGCGAATTCCGCCGTCGCTTCCCACGTCCTTGGGCTCTCCAGCATTAGCGGCACCAGCGTGCCTACACTGATCTCCGTTCCTGCTACCGCCTCCAGCGCTGCCCTTTCTTCGGCGAACCGGCGGCACTCGAAGACGACGTGGAGCGCATCTTCTTGTACGCCGGATCCGCACTCCGGACAGCCGTCCTCGTTCTCGTGGCCGAACCTCTTTAGGTAGCCATGCCCGCTCAGCACCTGGGTCAGGTAGAAATCCACCTGCCCGTGCTTCCTCTCCAACCATCCCTCAATGTTTGGGATCAAGCTGTACGTCCATCTCCCTTTGGACGAGGCATCCCATCTGGCTTGCCAGCTCTCGTAGCTCTTTCCTCTAGCCGCTATCTTGGCCTCGGACTTCGCGGCGCGATCTGGCCTATGATGCCCACGGAGCGCGTTGCGCAGCTCAGCCTTCTCGCGGACCAACTCCCTCAGAGGGACCAATCCCGCTATCACAAGCGCGGCGTCGTCCGAGACCGTCCTGAATGCGCTTGCCACCATCGTGATGGTAGTAAAATGGCCCATGTGGATGCCATGAGCCGCGCTCCCGTTTCACCTCCTGAAAAATCCTTACAGGAAGTAGTGCGCACCATAATTACGGACGTCGATGACTGGTTGCTAACTATGCAGCTTCAGGATGAGGACCTTGTCCAAATATTTGCTGTATTGAAGGAACATCGTACCCGAAATCAGCTAAAACAAATTCAAGCTGATTACATCATCAAAAATTACCACCTATATCGCAAGGT